ATAAAAAAGGAATGAGATAATGTCCTTTGCAGGGACATAGATGAAACTAGAAGCCATTATCCTCAGCCAACTAACACAGAACAGAAAACCAGGCACCACATGTTCTCACTTACAAGTGGGAGCTGAACAATGAGAACACATGGACACAGGGAGGGGAACAACACCACTGGGGCCTGTCAGGGGGTGAGGTGGGGGAAGGGAGAGCATTAAGAAAAATAGCTAATGCATGCTGGGCTTAATACCTAGGTGATGGGTTGATAGGTACAGCAAACCACCATGGCACACATTTACCTGTATAACAAACCTGCACATCCTGCACATGTACCCCAGAACTGAAAATAATTAAAAGGAAAAAAAGAAAAGGTAAGCCACAAACTGAACAGAAATATTTTCAATACATATATCTGACAAAGCGTCCAGACTATACAAATAACTTTTACAACCTAATAAGATGATTTTAAAATGGGTTAAATATTTGAAGATACTTCACAAAATAAGATTTACTGATGGCCAAAATTGCATGAAAAGATCCTCATCATTGTTAGTCATCAGGAAATACAAATATAAACCATAATGAAGTATCACTATATATCCAAAACAACAGCTTAAAGAAGTACTGGCAACACCAATATTGACAAGGATGTGGAGCAACAAGAGACCATACGCATTGTTAGTAGGAATGTAAAAATGGTACAACCAGGCAAACAGTTTGGCAGTTGCTTATCAAGTTAAATGTACACTTATCCATTGATACAGCAATTCCATTCCTTAGTATTTACCCAAGAGAAACGATAATGTATGTACACATAAAGACCTGTATGTGAATGGGAATGTTTATAGCATTCAGAATAGCTAAAAACCAGAAATAACTTGAATTCTCATCAACAGGTAAAATGGCCAGGCGCAGTGGCTCACGCCTGTAATCCCAACACTTTGGGAGGCCGAGGCGGGCGGATCACGATGTCAAGAGATGGAGAACATCCTGGCTAACATGGTGAAACCCCAACTCTACTAAAAATACAAAAAAAAATAGCTGGGCGTGGTGGCGTGCGCCTGTAGTCCCAACTACTTGGGAGGCTGAGGCAGGAGAATTGCTTGAACCCGGGAGGCGGAGGTTGCAGTGAGCCAAGGTCGCGCCACTGCACTCCAGCCTGGCGCCTGGCGATGAAATAAGACTCTGTCTTAAAAAAAAAAAAAAAACAGGTAAAATAAATTGTGTTTTTCCATATAATGGAATATTGCTCCACAATAGAAATCGCTGAATTACTGATCACACAACAGCATGGATGCATCTCAAAAAGCATTGTACTGCATGAAACTAAAAGCCAGGCACAAAAGAGTACATAGTATATGATTCCATTTATATAAAATTCTAAGAAGACGAAACTATAACAGTGAAAAACAGATCCATGGTTGCATGGGCTGGTTGGGGGCTTGGGATATTGACTTGCCAAGTGGCATAAAGGCATTTTGGAGGGGTGGTGATTGTGGCAGTGGTTACTTGAGTATATGCATTTGTCAAACCTTACCAAACTATACACTTAAAATCAGTGCCTTTTATATGTAAATTATTTCTTGATAAAGCTAATTTTAAAATTATACATATATATATAATATGTAGCATATACTTAAAGGTTCAGTAAGACACATTCAAAAGTATAGAACAGTAATATTTCAAAGGTGATGCTAAAAATATTTAACAATGGGAAGCACAAGCATTGACCAATCAGAACAACAGGTAGGTTTGAACAGTTTGTACAGCTAACCCATATGAATGAGATGAGTATTAGCCCAGAAAAACAAGAGCTATCAATGAGTGGTAGGTAGACGTCCTTTTCCTTCCTTTTGCTTATCTGTATTTCTTAATATTCTGTAACAATCACGTACTTTAAAATCTAAGAACAAAATCTATTTTTAATTAAAAAGAAGAAAAATGGTACCCTGCTGATAATCACATTTTATACTGTTATAAAATTCTAATGAATCTAAAAACCCTAATGGAACTTTTAAATAATAGATATGAGAGATGGTATACTAAAACAGCATTGAATTAGAAGGTAAAAATGGATAATACTATAAAAATATTTTCTGTCTACGCCAAAGAAAATAGTGAGACATATTTTTAAATTATTTTACCAGTTTAATATTTTAAAATGTCCTCCCTTTGCTCCTATCCCAACTAGATGTCCATATAATTAATTATGTTTAAGAGAGAGATCATTTATTCAAATTGTCCAGGTTCTGAAATGCCATACTGCTCAAAATGCATTATATAGTATGTTCTGATGGGTGTCCTGGTCTAGGTCAAACTTCAGAATCTGTCTGAGAAAGTCAGGAAATCAAATGATAATTATCAACCCTGGATAAATTTTTATAGCCAAATTACAGCCCATGACAAGCAGAGTTGTTGCTTTCTCTTCCTAGCAAGACTACTACTGTCTCTATGGCTCATCACAGCAACGAACCTTTGCTCCGAGCAATTCCTCAGAGGTAAGAACAATAAAAACCTGGCTATAGGAATAGTCGCCGAGAAGCTATGATCAGCAAATAATGACCAAGGAGCCCCCTTCATCATGTTTCTCTCTATTAACAGAGAAACTGCACCAGCTTCCCCTCAGCCCAGTCGGGAGTCAATGGATGGTTTAGCAACAGGACTCCTTTCTCAAACTCTGAAAACCCCAGAGTAAAATTATGCTACTGTACAGTCTCCTAATGTTGCTTTACAATTGCAGCTCAAATTTGTGATTTTAAAAGCACCGCAGCCTACTGTGAGTTCACAGTTATCTTTAATGATGTGCAAATCTCGGTGTTTTTTAACAGCTCATTTTTGTGCAGCGGCTACTGTGGTAACACCTGCGCCTAAATAGTTATTGCTTATAATACCCTGGGCTGTCAGGACGTGCAGTAAATGAGAGACAGTGCGTATCTTTCACCTTTTCCAGCCTAATTCGCTCACTCCTCCTCCATTTGAACACAAGCATACTGAGTCTGATGGAGCTGCTATGTCAGCTCCCAAAGCCCCCTTCCCCCTTGACTTATAGGACATCTGTCATCAGCAGCTGCTGATCACCCTGCTCTGTTACATGGAAAGACACAGGAAGAAGATGGCAGCCAGAAACCACCAGGGTCTTTCCCTCCTGTGAACAGAGGAAGACTGAACGCTCTGACTTTGAAGATGGAATATCGACTTGTTCCCAGATGACAACTATTAAGAAAAAGATACAGAAGTTTCCATGAGGCATGCAACGTGGCATTTCTACAAGATGTTCTATTTATATCACATTACTAAATCCAGCTTCATGTTATTGGCATTCACCCCTTAAATGAGGATTAGAAGCACCTTTACAGTTGACAAGTATTATGTAACAACTTTTCTTCTCTAATTCCAAATTACTTGCTTATCTCTTATGTAATAGTAATAATGGCAGATGTTTACTGAACAACACTACGCACCCGACATTGTTCTAAGCTTACATACATTAACACATTTAATCCTCAAAACAACCTGTTGTTATGATGAGTCAGGATTTGAACCCAGAATCTGTCTCCAAAGTCTTTGCCATACTGAGATAGATCAAAGATCAGACTCCCTTCCCCTAAAGAAGTGAATCTCTCATGAAGCCATCCAAGGACTCAGAATAAAGTGGGCTATGACTATGCTTCAAAATGTCTCAGGATAGACAGGAAAATCTCCAGGGTTATATGTGTGTCATAACTGCCTTACCTTACCTGCAAAAGTCTTTTGTCTAACCAGAGTATGGTGCACTCTGATCGAAGATGTCATCAGTGATTTTCAAAAATGGAAATGGCCTCATTGTGACTTTTTAGGTTTAAAATGCTCTTGGTAAATTCTCTAGGGTACAGTCCCACATGGTGCCCCAAGAGCTGATGATCACACCTCTTCAAAACATTATCAGCTACACTGGAAGCTGCCTTCCATCTGTAAGCATTCTCTCACCGGGCCCATTTAAGAGAAGCAGAGGATGCCACTGCCCAACTCATTTCCCCGGAGCCCTTAACCACTTTCACCTCCAACAGTCAGCGCCTGCGGTCTCTGTCTGAGGGCTGCCACCAAGCTGCCAAAGCCTGTTTTGCCTGCTGGCAGATAACCAGAGAGGTCCCTCCAGAGCAGTCCTTGGCCAATGACAGGCACCATAGAAGATATACCTCAGCCCCTGACTCCTTCTAGAGACAACTCTGAGATGTGATTACGTTGTCTCCAGAGCTCTCCTGCAAGATGGAGCCAAAGTCTCCCATCAGGGAACTGGACTTAATGTTGCACCCTTCTCGGCCTCCTTCCCTTCCCTGTCTTACTTACCATCCTCTTACCATCCTCTTATGGGTTTCCTGGGATCGCTTCATAATAAATCACTTTCATTGACACCAGCGTCCTTGGTTTGCTTCTAGAGAACCTCATCTAAGAGTGGAGACTGGCACATAGTGAACTGAGGGTGATGCAGGACATCCAGAAGGTCGCTCCGAAGTCCCACCTCTGTATACAGTCTAAAGAAACATCACGGGTCATTAACACTCCTGTTCTGTGCAAGGGAAATCTTGGTCCCTTGGCACAAATGGATGGATTGTTATGATCCCATTAACACTGTGCTTGTTCATCTCTGAGCTACTCCTCAAAATTTTTTTTAAATCACAGAGGTCAAGTTATTGTGAGAGAGATGGCCAAAGTGTTCTCACCCAATATAACTGAATGCAACCTCTCAATGGGGAAACTTTGAATGGATGTCCCAATAATTGTGGCTTCAACAACAAAAAAATCACAATGGATTCAATGGCTCAAAACGCTGGCAGCCTAGGAGCCAAACAGATGCCTGTGCTAAATAACTGTGTTCTCAAGTCTAGAGGGAGGATAGAGGCCTGGAAAGGAAAGAAGACCAGCCCAAATCTCTCATTTCATGGTCTTGGTTCCTGTGAATCAAATGCTCATGTTAAACATTTCCCACAGTAGTTTTAAACTTTAATTACATACACTACCAAAGCAAATATCAAAATCTCTACAAAGGTTCTTTTTTATTTTTTATGATAAAGTATTTATTAGTGTGTCTCTTTGGAACAGATTTTCCTACTCCAGGCCTGAAAATTCCACATAGAAATCATTCTCAAAACACTTTTTAAATTCTTGAGAGTTTGTTCTTCTTTCTCATCTCATGCAATGACTTGTTAATGGGGAATAATTAAAATAGATTCTTGTTAATAAGGTGGGAGGGGATGCATTGCATTTTAAAAATACTTTTAAATATAAAATCTTCAAGTACGCCAATGTCTATAATAGAGAAATTAAGGTCTAGTACATTTCAATCAATGGGGTAACAACAAAAGATCTGCTTCATGCAATAGGCCAGCCTAACTGAATGGAGAGAATTACAATCTGTTAATATCAGTGTGGACCAGGCAAAACACCATCCCTCTTACATGTAAGTGACTATGACAGTTCTGCACTTCTTTCCATCCCGGATTCTGGGCACCCAATTCTATTATCCAAGGAGCTTGAGATTCCCCCAAAATGTTCCCAGAGCAGATTTCATGAGTTGTTCAACTGGACCCAGCCAGCAGCTTCAGGTTAGAATTTCACCTTGGTTGACGTGAGAGGAAATCCACCCCCAGTAAAACCAGGGCCATCTGGTTTGGCGATTAAGAGGGTGTCCTCCGTGGGTGCTTTGTTCTTGTTTCTGTAAGAGAAGAGGCGAAAGTTAGCTTCCTTAACATCCTTTTTGTCTGAGTTTGATGTTTGATGATCCTAGGGTGTGTCAGCCACTGAAAACTACTTTGATTACAGCTTCTAGTTTTAGCCAACGTAGTTGTTTAAATCTAATTAGGTGTTCACCAATAAAACAAAAAATTAGGGCAAGACAATTTAAATGCAAAATATGCTCTCCTAATGTTTATTTAAATATGAACAGAAGACCTCATTATAACTCAAACACTGTATATTTGGTGACTTCGGACTTGTAATCATCTTCCTGTTATATAAAACATTTGTTTAGCACTGAAGATCAGTCAGAAGAATCTTTTTCTTGGCTCATTTATAATGACTAATTCATCATTTATCAACTTTTATATTCTAAAGTTCTGGTAGAAACTTATAAATATTTACTACACACAAGGTATCTTCATCAAACTTGGATATTTATAAAACACAAATCTTCCTGTAACCCTAGACAAGCAACCATTATTAGTAGAAATAGTTTAAGATACAAGAAAAGCTGAGGAAGGTAAATAAGATAGTATTTTTGGCAACAAATGAAGGGAATTCTGCCCTAAAATCCACAATGTATCTTCTTACATAGATGTCCTTTAAATACACACACACACACACACACACACACACACACACACACTCATATTCAGGCTTACTACAGAAGTAACCTAGAGCTACATAAGTTATCTATCATACACTTAGGGGTCTTAGAGAAAACAGCTTTGGAATCACTGTTAAACAATAAAAATCACGCAAACTGCTAAGACTAAAATCAATTAGATTGGACAATTATGAATGACTTACCCTACGGGAACAAACTGTCTTCTAGAAAAGAATCTGACTGGTACTGCAGTCTATAGATCAGCCTGGGGATTTGGGGTAGGGTAGTCAGGGGCAGGGGCAGGCGCAGGTCGTGATCACAGTGTGATCAGAGGGGTGTTTAAGAAAAACAAAAGAAGGTAAAAAGGCACCAAATGATATGAGTTGCTATTTTGTAAAGGCGTATGTGGAGAGAACATCCACAGAGATTATTCTAAATTATTCCACTGGGAGAGAACCTGTAGAGGATTGGTAATCAACCCATCTGTCTCTTAGCAGAATTGATTTCATTATTGTGAAAAACCATTCTCCATAAATAGGACAAAAGCTTTAGCCTTGAGTGGATCCAGCAAAGCAGATCCTTTCCTGTACTTTGGCAACTTGTCTTGCTCTTGACTGGCGTTAGAGGCAAACAGCACTCCCCCTCCCCCTGCCCTCTCTTGCCTTGAATAACCTGAATTTTCTTTTTCTGAAGAAGCTTAAGCTTAATGCTTCTGGCTTGGTCTAAGCTGACTAATGGGAATACTGTCTCCTTTATATTATCTTTTTAATGTATTGATAGACCATTATAATGACTCCCTCAGCCTTCTTCCTTCCAGTCTATACCATCTCAGCACTTTTGTTCTTGCCTCTTTATATTTTTTTCTTCAGCATCTTTTTTGTTATTCTCCTATGAACTAATCTTTGTCTACCAGTTTATGGATCCCCAAGGAGATGGAACCACCAATGGAACCCTAACTAGGTCAGAGTGGCTACTAGTAATAAGCGTGTAAGGACAAGAAGAGAACAGGTAAAGGCAAAGATTCTAGAGCTTTCTAGAACTTTCTAGTACTGCCCAGTTGCACTTTCTGTTATACCCAGGCACTAGCCACATGTGGCTATTAAGCACTTGAAATGTGACTAGTGAAACTGAGCAAGTGATTTCACTGTAATTTGTTTACCTTTAAATGGCCGCAAGTGGTGCATGGCTGGGCAGCCCAGTGACAGTGGATGGGCCCATCGAGAAGGGCTGAACCAATATCCAGGCAGCTCATGCTCTCTGTGTCCATCAAACTTTGGGGCAGGAGAGGGAGCAAGATTGGCAGGCAGTAATGTCAAAGAAAACTAGGCCAAATCCCAGGGTCAAGGCAAGAAAATTAATCATCTCTAGAAAGATAATAAACAGCCATGCTAGCTGTTTGTTACAGTGTAAACTAGACCACTGGTCTCCAAATGGAGTGTATGAACTTTAGAAAATGAATGAGATGATCCACTGTGGGTAGAAAGAAGATATTAGACATTCTATTGATACTTTTTTCTTTAAAAATTAAAAAGTATGCCTTACTAAGAGTTACAAACTGACAGTGGTATCTGCATATAATTTATAAATTAAAATATATTGCAGGTAAATCTAAAACTATTTTGAAATTTAAAAATTATGTAAAAGATATATGCATAATATAAATAATATAAAAAATTATTTAAAAGATATATGCATATATATGAGGGAAGCTGCAAGTTTTAAAATGTTTTACTGGCAGGGCACGGTGACTCATGCCTGTAATCCCAGCACTTTGGGAGGCAAGGGCTGGCAGATCACTTGAGGCCAGGAGTTCAAGACCAGCCTGGCCAATATGACAAAACCCTATCTCTACTAAAAATACCAAAAAAATAAAAATAAAAAATTAGCTGGGCATGCTTGTGATCCCAGCTACTTGGGAGGCTGAGACTTAAAAATTGCTTGGCCCCTGGAGACAGAGTGAGCCAAGATGGAGCCACTGCACTCCAGCCTGGGTGACACAGTCAGACTATCTCAAAATAAACAAAAAGTTTTACTGATAAGAGTGTACAATCAAAAAGCTTAAAGACCACTGAGTTAGACACCTGCCTCATGTGGAAATTAACCATGCTGACATTTTATGAGCACAACCTTGATATCCTAAAAGAAAAATACAGTTTTTCCACTCCAGCATTCATTTAATTTACATTTTTAATATTAGTAGTTCACTGTTCACGAAAATCACCTAAGGAGCTTATTAAATTGCAGGTTCCCAGAGCCTGCTGAATCCAAATATCTGGAAATATGGCCTGGTAACCTGCATGTTTAATAAATCTCACTAGTGATTCTGAATCAGACAGATAGTTGCTAGACTGACACATTAAGACGGACGTATCTACATTATAGCAGTATTTTACTCTACCACGGAACTGGCACCTAAATGTGGAACGGGGGAGTATTCTGATTTACAAGAAGGGCAGATTTTTGCTGGCAAATGAATTTGCATCCAGTTACTTTATATAACTTTGCTACTAACGAATCATAGGCAAATGTACTCAAGCCATATTTCACCATGTCCCTGAAATGTCCATGTGGATAAATACCAAGCATGACTTTCAGCCCATAATGTGAGTCACTACAAAATTAACTGGATGATTTTGGCAATGTCGTGCAGCCTCACCAAGTTTCAAACCTAGTTCGTTTCAAACCTGATTCATTTGGGCCCCTATTCTCACCCTGGGATCAGGCAAATGATACTAACAATGTGAAGAGAACTTTTGTTTTTCAATATGGGAGCATCCTGAAACCCAAAATGTTAACCTCACTTCTGCATTATCATCTCCTAGAAGAATAGGTCACATCAACCCTCCACAGAAGATGCTGAAGTCAGTCACTAGATATAGAAGATGGTTCAGAAATAGTAACCATCCAAAAACCCAGGCATGCAGGGCACTGTGGCTCACCCTGTAATCTCAACTCTTTGGGAGGCTGAGGCAGGAGGACTGTTTGAGGCCAAGAGCTCAAGACCAACCTGGGCAACATAGCAAGACCCTGTCACTACAAAAACAATTCAAAAATAAGTAAATAAATAAAACATAGGTGAACTGCTAGTAGTTGTAGTGGTACAGGGGCATCATTAGAAAGAACAGCTTTTTTTTTTTTTTTTTTTTTTTGAGACGGAGTTTCGCTCTTGTTACCCAGGCTGGAGTGCAATGGCGCGATCTCGGCTCACCGCAACCTCCGCCTCCTGGGTTCAGGCAATTCTCCTGCCTCAGCCTCCTGAGTAGCTGGGACTACAGGCATGCGCCACCATGCCCAGCTGATTTTTTTTTTGTATTTTTAGTAGAGACGGGGTTTCACCATGTTGACCAGGATGGTCTCGATCTCTTGACCTTGTGATCCACCCGCCTCGGCCTCCCAAAGTGCTGGGATTACAGGCTTGAGCCACCGCGCCCGGCAAAGAACAGCTTTACTAAGCCCCAGTCCCTTAGCAAAAGCACATGTGGTTTTAAATGTGAATATGCTATACAGGGCTGATTTTGAACATCATTTGCAAACATCGTTATGACATTATTATCTCCAAACCATAGACCAGTGTGGGGGGAAGAGTTGTATTACATTTCCTCTGCTCCATGGCAGATCCACCAATGAGCAGATACTAGTGGATCCCTGTTAGGATCCCAAGGAGGGGACTCAATATCAGATGAGATATTGATCTTGCTCTGATACAAACTTAGGGACCTGTAGAATGTCATTTGTTTACCCTGTGACTTAGTTGACCCCAGTGAAACTTGCAACTCTGTGACTGTTTAGAAAATATTTTCTTATGTGCAAATAATCGGCACAACAAAATTAGGACGTTTAGCTAATTCTTACATTTTAAGTTGTTCTTTACGTTTCTGAGCGAGATATTTCTTCTTTAAATTCTGGAGTTCAATGGTAAGTCTCTCCACCTCATGTTTATATTCTTTGCTCTGTACTTCATACATATTCAGTTCTGAAGACAAAACCTAACATGGCAAATAAAGCAGCATTAACAAAAGATACAATATCCTTTTCTGAGAAATCTTTTAATCTCCCACCATTTACTGCAGTGGAGCTCAAGGTGCAAAACAATGGTCAAGTTTCACAATTAATCTGCATGCTACCACCAGCTCAGGGTCCACATCTGAGTAGAAACCTGGCTGACAGCTGAAGATGCATCATCAGGTTGCCACTTAAAATAAAATATCATTCCCCTGCTTAAAAGGAGAACTATTAGACAACATTCGAACAGGCTCACAGATGAATGATCTAATGTGCTTCAAGGAATATTATGAATAGAGACAGAAAAACTCCCCGACACACAATCTAAAATTGCTTTGAAAGCCTTTGAAAAAAAAAAAAGAAAGAAAGAAAGTATTCAAGAAAAACATCACTAGAGAGTGTGATTCATCTGAGGATTATGAAAAAATTATTCTGAAATCATCCTGCCATCACTGCTAACTAAGCATTCAATTTATGTGTTTTCCAAGGTTGTGGTGCTGCTGACTGCCTATCACCTCTTGACTGTGTTCTTTGGGACTCTTCAAAGCCTGACTATCTGCTTCCTTCCATTGCTGTGTTCAGTGGCTGCTGCTGGTCTCCAGCTGGACAAGAAGAGTGGGAATTCACTCATCTGCATAGGATATAGCACATGCCAAAGCTGGGGTGTGCTGCTCACCAAACTGAAAAGAGCAAGGGAAGGCTATTGTTCTAACAGGCATGCAATAGGCTGGATTTATTTTTCCTCTTGCTCGCTATTTTAAAGATTTGCATAAAAGGGAGATCTTAGCCTTCTTAGTGTTCATCTGATTCTGATCTCTTTCTTCTTCACTGCTGTGAAAATGATTCTGACTATGCTATCATAAGCTAAAGAATGTAATTTTCATGCTGGAAAAAAAAAAAACACCTGTCTCAATAGTTAAATTCTTAGAAACAAAGACCCTGTTTCTAAACAATGAATGTGGAATTTCCTAAAAGAGTAGATAAGTATCAAGGACAAACTGGCAGACATGCTCAGTGCCACCCACCTCTAAACCTCTTCATTAGGGGTCACATTTCATTCTAGCAAAAAATTTGGATTTCCTGAGAAAAAGGGTTAAAATCACAAAAGGCTCCTGTGAGCCTTTGAAGGCAACCGGGAGCTCTGTGTGAATCAGACAGATCTGTGCTTTTCTAATCTATATCTACCTCTGAGAAAACAAGAAAATAATTTGTTTTGTTTAAAATATTCAATTGTTTAAAGAAACAATCAAAATATTATGCCTTATGCAAAACTCAAATTATGTCAGGATACTCATGTGAAATGAACATTCACAGTGACAAATTGAAAATTAATGCTCTAGTTAGACTTGTTTCATCTGCCCTTTTAAAATAAAAGGATGCAGTTTTACAATGTTCTATTTTTGAAGGGGTTAGTGCTATATTAGTAGGGTGGTATATATTTTACCCCAGGCAGAAAGTCAACGATTATTACCCTCGTTAGGTAGGAAGTACCAGAATTCAACTGGCACATGCTTCATCCTGTGGCTGTGTGTGTAAAACTTCCCCGACATGCCAAGAATATCTAAGTACTCGCTTAGGAGGTAAAGCTCAAAATATAGTGTGAACATGCACAGGTTTTGAGAAAACTTTTAAAAGGCACATATAAAAGTAAAACACTCCATATCTCTGCAACTGAAGTTCTTATGTGACTTAGAAGGATATCATGCTATCAGAAAATCTTGCCTGATTTTATTTCCCTTTCATGGTTACGTATTTGACAGCCGGTCAGGAAGCAAGGCCCTCAGGGCCGGGCAGTGGCTGGACTTCTGTGTATGTTTATTTCAGACGGGATGGACTAGCAGGGACCCACTGTGGCACAGCGGTCTGCTTCAGTTGGGCAATGGTGTTAAAATATTTCCTTTGCTCCTCCCTGCCCTTCAAGGACTCTAATAAATCATCTTGAGATCGGCCGTACAAACCCTGTCCCCCACATTTCCATTTCGTTGCCAACATCTTTTCCTCTCTTGCTCACCTGCCTCTTTCTGGAAATGGATAAAGGTGCTGCCTAATAGTCCAAGAAAAGATGGGTAGCTCTGAGGTCTGCTGGCTCGTCTTAGACTAGAGCTCTAAGAAAGCAGACCTGGGAGGATTGTGGCATTTGAGAGACTCGCTCATTGTATGGAGGCAGTGGACTTGTCCAGATGTGCTCCCCAGAGTGTGACTGCCCTGAGACCAGAAAGGGACAGTGGCTACTGCTTACTTTCAGCTGCTTTTTCTTGTCATACAGCGTACGTCGGTAGAGCTTCAGCTGTTCCGCAGCCTCAGGTCCAGGCTGACGGGCCAAGACGTGCTTTAGTTCCACGTAGAGTTTCTCCTTTTCCTGGTAGAGAGCAGAACCAGGAGTAGAGATAAACACCTCCATTAAAACAAGGAAAATGCCTTTCACTGTATAGCCAGCACAATTTGGGAGCAGCTCAAGCTGCTTCACAGCTCTACAGTGATCACATTCTCTTACAGATTCATTCTGTCATGCACTGAAACAATCCTTATGAAGGGCCAGGGATGTGCCCAACATTTGGATACAAGTAATAGGACAATGAGTAAGAGAAAGTTCCTCTCTACCTGAACATGAGATCACAGGACTGGGAGACAAGGGCAAGGATAGAAGATCTTGCCAGAAAAAGGAGGGAGTGGCTGACTCTGGTTAGAAGAAGGAAGTCAAAAGGAGAGTTTTTCAAGAAATATTATAGCTGGGTGCAGTGGCTCATGCCTGTGACCCCAGCACTTTGGGAAACTGAGGCAGGAGGGTCGCTTGAGGCCAGGAGTTCAAGACCAACCTGGGCAATATAGTGAGACTCTGGCTCTATTAAAAAATAATAATAATACAAAAATTAGCCAGGCATGGTGGTGCATGCCTGTAGTCCCAGCTAGTTGGGAGGCTGAGGTGAGAAGATCATTTGAGTTTGAGGGAGCAATGAGCTATGCACCCCTGCACTCTAGACTCCACCTAAAAAGAAAAAAAAAGAAAGAAATATGATGGCATGGGAAGAAAAGAAATGTGAAAACAGTTTGAGGGAACAGGTAAATATTCAGGAAAACTCGGGTATGCATATTTGTAGAACTAAAAGAAAGAATTTTCTAGAAACCCTAAGCAAATGATAATTCTGTAACTTTATTTTAACAATAAACAATGTGAAATCCCCATTTGAATCCTAGAGTTTAATTGCTTGCAAAGTGTTTTCAGATCCTTGAACTAAATAAATTACATACAAGCAAAGATTTATTTCTCAAGCACCTCAGTTCTAGATTTCCATATCACTAAACTGCAATAATTTGAAAAAACACTGATAAAGACTAGTCTGTCTACTCATTAGTCTCTGTATGCATTTATTTTCTTAAGATAATTGTGTTAAGGACAAACCCTCTCATTAAATAAATCTCAGTCAAATGGATATTAATTTTTGCCTATAGCTAAGTATTCTTAGCATTGTTATCAAATCTGTTTTTAGCAGCGAATATAAAAGTTATTTTTTTACAAAAGGGTGAAAGAAAAATCATTAACTAGTCATTGTTACCATTTGTTTTGGTTTCTCCTTTTCCCTGGCCAAATTATAGAAACTTCATTACAAAAACATAGCTTTACTTATAGAAGAGTATATTCAACTTAAAAATTAGTTGGATGGAATAAGCTTTGGGAAAAACACATATGAAAACAATACTCACCATTTTAGAAATAATTGTAGAAATGACAAGGAAATCCAAAACCCGTGCAAAAGAAAAGAACTTGAACAAATCGAATTACAAAGTGATGATTTTCCCTTGCTGTACAACACCTCCTGTCACACCTTACAATGTAATCTTCACAGTAAATGGATGTAGCAAGCAATGAGAAAGATATCAGGAGGTGAGTTTATTTTCTATAGACACTTAACACCTGCTCTGTTGGGAAAATAACATTTCTGACAAGGCTTCAAGATTCAATTTGGAGAGGGTAATAAATATGTGGAGAAGCCCATGAAACAGTTTTGTCCATTTTTTCAGTTCACCTTTCTCTATACCAGAATAGAGATAGACTTGCAAAGGAAAGAACCTCACAATGACAGAGAGAAAACAATCTGGTTTGGGATATAATAATGTCTTCAACTCAAAAGATCATCTTACTCCAAGCATCTTGAAATGTTTCACAGGTGTAATTCTCTTCAATTACTCTTGGTAGGTTGGGAGGAGAGAGACACAGAGAAGAAAGTTTGGAAGAAGCAAAATACTGTCACCTCACCACATAGGTGAGAATCTCGACATCAGCAGGAATTAATGGTGCCTCCAAAGTCCATTGGCAAGTCAAAAATCTAGTAATGATATACCCCCAAGAATCGTCTTTCCTGTGCAAAACTTCCCCTGGGGCTCAAAGACATGGCATCACCCTGAAAATATTTGGACCAAATTGAGCTACAAAAGTCCAACTACGTGATATCATAGATAGAAGAATCAAGCCAAAAGGTGGAATCAGGTTCAAAGCCACGTTAGAGTAATGACAGTAAGAGCATGACTCACCTCCTCCATCTCCCCATCTACACCATCTGAGTGAGCCCTGCCATGTCCTCTAATAGAAAGCACAGTCTTCTGACACAGAGTGAATGATATTACCATTTATCCTGTCTTCTTCATCACTACCAGTAATTTTTTCTTTCCTTTTTCTCTTTTTCTTTTTTCTTTTTTTTTTTTTTTTTGAGACAGGGTCTCACTCTGTCACCCAGGCTGGAGTACAGTGGTGCAATCATGGCTCACTGCAGCCTGGACTCAACCTCGACCTCCCTGCACTCAAGCAATCCTCTCACCTTAGCCTCCCTAGTAGTTGGGACTACAGGCAGGCACCACCATGCTTGGCTAAATTTTACACCTTTTGTAGAGGCGGGGTCTCACTATGTTTCCCAGGCTTGTCTCCAGCTCCTGGGCTCATTTTATCCACCAGCCTCAGCCTCCCAAAGTGCTGTGATTACAGCTATGAGCCACCACATTGAGCCCAGTATTTCTTTCTAGGCTGTAACCTTAATTGAAATGGATTTATTCTAAAGAATAGCTGAGCAACTGAACAGTGAGAGCCCACAGGTATGGAGAAAAGTGAAGAAACTGAATTACCACTAAAACTGTCTGGGTAGTCAAAGTCAAAAAGTTCTTAGAATTAAATAACCCAGGGCAAGTGAGGCCTGTGTGTTCCTGGTAGGTAGAAGAAATACCGAATCAAACTTCAGGGACTAAGATAGTGGCACACATGCAGAGCAGAGACAAAGGGAAGGTGGGCAGCGGTTGGAATGAATACTGCGCGGCTTCACTGTGCATGAATTTGGGTCAGTGCTTACAGTGGAAAACCTGTCTGATAAAGCAAAGTCTGGTCAGCATTAGCATTCTAGCCTTGTGTATCATACAAATTCCTATTTTGAGAGAACGTACTAGTAATTTAGATAAATATGAAATGTTTGATGGATTGAAGGTCTTAAGTACGATTGTCTTCCAATTTATTTTTCTCGTAACCCTCTACAAGGGCCAACCAAGCTCTTCAAACATTGTGCAATGGTGTGTATAATAACCCCATTTAGAGACAAAGCGTGCAATTCTATTATAAAGAGAATCTATCTTAGGCAACAGAGACTCATTAGCTGTCCAGTGTATATTGTCTCCATAAGCCAGCAGTGGCAGAACCAGCTGCCTTATAATACATATCTTGTCCTTCTTCATTAAGCCACATCCATTTCTCTTTAAATCTAGTCAATTAATTTGTCACTTGGTTAGAAGCACCATATGTCAATGAAACATCAAAAGGAAACCATAAAGAGTGTATTATTTCCCCACCAACGAAAGATTGCATCTTCAGATTGACATTTGTTTTATTCAGAGTTTGCTCATGATGCACGGCAATATTACTTGGTAGCATGCCTTACTATTTACGAACAGCTATCCTGGAATAAAGTTCAACTACTAATAGCAAAAGACTAGCTTTCTCTTTGGCTGAGCATGTCTTGAGAGCACTAACCATACTATGTCCATCCTTGAAATGATATTCTCTTCCTAGATATCCTATTCTCTCCATTGGACAGGCCATCAGAGGTGAATATGGATTCTTTTGCTGCAAAGAATCTGCCAAGTTACGCTGGGTAACAGCACATGTCATTGTCAATATCAGCTGAGTATAGTGGTAAGAAATTAATTACAGTATTAGCTTCCAATAATGCTGTTATTACATGATGGCAGTCTGTAACCTCACAATGGAAACCCGAGACATATTCTGAACAGCCTATGCAAATAAGAGTCGGTGCTACTCCAGGTACAATTCAGAGGGAGCAACTGAGTTATTCACAGGACTCCTTTCCCCACCAAGTTACAGTTTTATAATCACTGTCTGTTTATAGCTTCAGCTGAAAACAGAAGGTAGTTCACATTCAATGTGCACCTCAGCTCCCCTTCTTCCTCAGCTCGTCTACTCGAAGCAGTAACTGACTGAGAGGAACTAATTTATTCCATTTTCATCTGAATCTGTGTTTGGCAAATGCCAGTGCATTGATTCTGCTCACCCTGGAGTCATCAATTTGCTTGGGTGAGAGTTGGAAATAATCGCCTCACTCTGTGAACAAGCTGACTCAAGTGAAACAGGCAGCTTTCCTCCAGACCAAAGACGCACACTTATCTACACCTACCAGGGCAAAAGCTACCCACTCAGATGCTTGAGTGCCAGGAACTCCAAGGAAAGAGATACCATCTTGCCTTCACTCCAGCCTTACCCAGTGGATTCAAGATAATGTTGATTTTTTTTTTAATTCAATAACCACTGCTTCTGAGAGAAGCTACTCCACAGAATATACAGAAAATCTCTTTTTCAAAATGTCAACAGACATTATCATGTTACTACCAACAGTATTTTATCTTTTATAAATCCACTCTTTCTCTCCAACTGAATTATGAGCTTTTAAGGCCCAAACCATGGTGGATCTCTCTCTCTCTCTGCCCCCACCCCATAACTTGCATCCACTGTTGTGTTCTCCTCATTCTATTGAGGAAGCTCAATAATTCTGTTGATTGCAATTATATGGTCAGCAAACTATACCCATGGTACTTTACATATATACATCAATACAGGTACAGATATATTTGTGTTGAGAACTTTTACTTGAATTAAACCATTCAGTAACATCTTCCAGTTAGCAGAGCTTACATAATTCAATTTACTGAGCTGGTGCTATGAATTCCATCACTTGGAGCTATATTTTTTGATTGTGTATATTGTATATAACTCAGAAAATCACTTGAGGTACAACCTTGCCTTGATCTCTTAGTGAAATGTTTATAGAGGTCTTCTGATAGTTCAAGTCATTCTTTTAATTCATAAGA